TATGGAGCTCCTTGTAATCCCAATGATTTGCGGATCAGTATTGGTGTGGTGATTCTAGACCTACGCAGCCTCGTGGATTGTTGATCTGTATCCGATGAGGGCGGAGGCGCTATATTGTACAGGGGCATGATACTAGTTTCGTTGTAGTCTTTGAGAGGTGGTAAATGAGCGTCGTTCTGCTAGGTTTCATGAAACTGCATTGGCTTGTTGCAGTATTTGATAATTATAATGGCATCAATGACATTGTTGCGTCCGTTGTTGATTGATTAGTGTGTACTCAAAGAAGTGGGATTGCCATGGTCTGTTTGTCAAATTTAACGTTTGTTGTGACAAAAACCTTTGTTTTGCCCAGATTGTAGTTGCGGTATCACCTTGGTTTGGCTGTTACAGCCTACAAAGATGCAAAGATTTGCGTGTACGTCAAATTTTCCTCGGTCATGCTTTCTTACATGAACGTAAGCAGCACAACCAAAAACTTTAAGTCTGCTCAAGTCAGTGGGCTTACCAGGGTACTGCTCCATTGGTGATGATCCTTGATTAGATCTCAAAGGACTGATATTGGTTAAGTTGCTGTGGTAACAAATTTTGGCCGAAGTATATGCAGCAACTTTGCATCTATAGCCATGCTCCTAGCCCTATCTATGATTGTGCAATTGTTATGCTCTGCAAATCCATTCTGGTATGAAATGTGTAGTACAGTAACTTGATGCGTGATACCAACGTGTTTACAAAACTTGATGAACTCAGTAGACATAAATTCATCCTTTCTATCTGTTTGTAGGCTTTGTATTTTATCTTTGGTATTGTCAACTTGTTGATAAAATTTGATAGTGTGCAAAAGCGCCGCTTCTGGCTTGGAAGAAAAAGGTCTACCTCCTACAATTATAATCATCAGTGATAGTGAAAAAATATTTTGAGGCATCAAGTGAGGCATTCTTGAAAGGTCCACATAAGTCGGTATGTAAGAGATTGTGCCTCCTAGTCATCCTTGTGATGCTTTCTTTTCGTCGTGTTGCTCTGTAGGTTTTTGCTAACACGCATTTCTGACTGAGGGCTCTATTAATTGATATGTAGAGTGTTCCCTTTGTCATAGCATTTTGCAAGAGTGAGTGCAGGGATTTGTACTTGATGTGTCCGAGCTGCTAGTGCCAGAGTTGCGCATTGGAAGGTTTGAGCAGATTGACTTCTTTCTCCTCTGGTGTCACGAGCTTGTAATGGCCCAAATTTTGATCTCTAATATCCTTGGCTATGACAGTGGGTGGTGATTTCTCTCTCATGATCCAACATCTAATAGAAGAGAAAATTATGGCATATCTTTAATCTACTATCATGCCTACGGACATGAGATTCTTTTTAACGCCTGGTACATGAAGGACGTTTTATATGGATCAATTCGTTCCCCTATAGTTCATCGTGATTGAGCCCTGCCCTGCGACTATGTGAGAGTGGCTACCTCCAAATTATACCTTAGTAATTGTTGTAGCTAGAGCGAGTTCTCAAAAGTTGGAGTTGTCTCCTGTAACGTGAATTGAAGCTCTACTATTGAGGTACCATGAGTCATCTCCTTCCTCTAGCTTCATGGCAAGCATTGCTATGTCAAATAACTTTGGTTTGTTTTCTTCCTATTTTGCCTCTATTTTTGGAATTTCTTCAGCTACCGCAATATTTGCCTATGAGTTGGTGGTTGGTTTTCTCTGGAATGCTTTCTTTTCGTCGTGATGGCGTGTACACTCCCTTGCCTAATGGCCCCATCGGCTACAATTATTACATTGCCCATTTCTTTTGTTTGCTGCTCTTTAAGGTATCGAAGGAAATTTGTGTTGCGGTGGATTGTACATCTCTTTGGGTCATCGTATCTTGCATCCATTGTGTCATCATTCGATGGGATGTCATCTTTGATCTGTGAAGAACAATACTTCTCTGTGTTGTGTTGCTCTCCGAGATTGTCGTGATTCTTCAATAAGTAGTTTTCATGTCAACTTTTCAAAACTAGGAAGTTCGTCAAATACTAGGAGGCCCTGGACGAGGCTTTTGTATTCTCGAGGCAAACCATTGAGCGCGATGTGAATCAATCGCAATTTTCATACCTCTTCTCCTGACGACCTCAATTATGTTATGATTTTGTTAATTTTTTGTAAGTAGTCTAGAATAAAACTTCCCTCGTCCATCGTGGTCAAATGAAATTGGTTAATCAATAACATTGTCAGAGTTGCGTTCTTGTTATCAAAGAGATTGTGTAGAGCTTGCCAAGCTTGTGTAGGATCATCAAAGTTTGCAATGTGGTGAATGATATTATCCTTTATAGACATTATCAGCACGGCCATCGCTTTGTATTTATCGTGTTGTTGTTGGGATGCCATGATGTTGACAATGTTAATGACTTCGGCAGTGTTTGCTGTGAATCTATGCCTTATAAAAAAAAATAACATTCCAGAGTTTGTCTTTCATGAAGAGTATCTGCATCTTCACCTTTCATATTGAAAAACTGTTTACTCCTTCCAGCTTGTGTAGATTGGTCATAGACAATATTGATTCTGTGTTCATGATGCTCGAAATAAGAGGGCAGCTCTCTCTTCTACCTCGGAGTGCTTTAAAGTCTAATTTTTGGCTTGCTTGAGCTTGTGTGCTGACTCAACTTCTATAATTTGCCATTGAAAATTCCTCTTGCTCTTAGAACTCTCTTATTGTTATGAGAATTTGGAAATGCTGGCTCGTTTTCTGCCATTTGATCCTTTCTATCTCTACAAGAAGATACTGTCAAGATTTTAGCCATCTAGTTTTAGAAACCTCCCATTGATACCATGTTGAAAGAAAAATAAAAAATTAAATCACAACCAAAACAGAGGTGCGAAATGAAGTTTCTACTTCCATTGTTTTGTGCATCAGAGTTGCACTTATTTATACGGATTTGCAAATGATAGAATGTGGAAGAGTCTGTCTTGCAGTTGGATACATGGATGCAAACCAACTTACAATCAGTGCAACAACTTTTTTAGCCCAGCAAATGAGCGAAGATTGAGTTGGTTGAAGGTGAAGATGAGTGTGTCAAGTCTTTCTGTGACGAGGGACTGTGATCATGCAGATTTCCTCCGTTCACAAATGTCAGAATGAAATCTATGTCTGTGTCGATGAAATGGTCGTGCTGAATATGCACATGGTTTTTGAGAATTTGGATCCGGTTGAATACTGTTGCAATCGTTTGAATAAGTATGTGCTTACATGTTAGTGCAGCGGTCAAAATTTGAATTGTGCATAATCTGAAATGATTCTTGGAATATTTTCATTTAGTTTTGTGCAGACAATTTATTGCTATTTCGAATTCAATAAAAAATTATTCTCTCTTGAACTCAAATGTATCTGTTGAAAATTAATAAAAAAACATATTACTAAATTTTATTCTTTTAAAATGAATAAAAAGAATAGATTTTATAATCAATTTAGATTTTTTTATTAATGTCAATGACTTAATACATTTTAATCTTTCTAGAAATAAAATTTATTATCATATTAAATAATATCTATTAATTTTATACAAAATAAATATAAGATGATTTATAAATTCAATATTGTAATACCTTATATTGAATTGATATGATAATTTCTAAATAATAAAAATTTATTAATATATATATATATATATATATATATATATATATATATATAATGTCCTCTAATATTTGTTTAAAATATAGGCTTTTGAACTAAGTCATAAGGTAGTTCAAAATCTCTTTATAATAAGGTATCTTTCCTTTTTTTTTTTTTTTTTTCCTTTGTTTGAATAAATTTTGTGTAATTTCTTTGATTTAGAGTTGTAATAATAATAATAATAAAAAAAATGAGTGTATTTATATTTACTTAGACCAATTGAAAGAATAAAAAAATGTAATAATATAAAGTATAAGAAAAAAATCATATATCAATTAGAAACACACGAATTTTTATAAAGCTTATTGTATTTTTAGTTCGAAATTATTTTACCAATGAATAAATAGATGTTATGTACAGAAGACAGAAAAATGATTACTGATTAAGTTTTAACATATTGGATCAAAAACGAAAAATCCTAAATATGTTGTACTTGAAATGGTTTGATATGAAGATTGTATAAAATATGCTAACAATTTTATAGTTAGTTAGTTAGTGCATGGTTTTTTTGGTGTATTGTGAATAACTATGATAATTAATTAAGCTCTTTTTTGTTTTTTGTTTTTTTTTTTTGGTCTAAATTAGATCAATGATATCTACACAATCAATATAAAAATATGAATTGTATAAGTAAGAAAGAGAAAATACCTTCTTGAAGCTTGAGTTGCTAATTATTACACAACACATAGAGGGTAGAAAAAAAAAAAGAAAAAAAAAAGAAAAAAAAAAAGAGATATAATAAAACAATGTGTAAAAAGTTGGATTAAAAAATTATTAAATGACAGCTTAATAAACAATGTCCAAGTCAAAAGTTGCAGAGAAAGAAGACACATATAAAAAAAATATCATGTGTTGATATTTTTAAAATATATATATATATATATATATATATATATATATATATATTAAATTTGATAATTTTTTTTTATAGAATGATAACAAAAAAAAAATTATATTCAAGAATTAATTTTATTAAATTTTTCACATATATATAATCAATTCTATTAAATAATTTTATTAAAAATATAATATCATTATAGATGTCTAATATGAAAATATTGTATCTTCAAACATATCACAATAAATTTATCTATAGATTAACAAAACAATTCATTTAGACAAGATTATCAAAAATAATCTACTTAATTGAAGTTCTACCATATAGATAATAAGTTTTTATTAGACTATAGAAAAAAGCCTCCAATTGAAATTAAAAAAATAGGAATTTATCAATAAATATATATATATATATATATATATATCAATAATATAGAAATAAATGTATAAAATAGTTCTTAATAATTCATTGTAAAAAAAATACTTACAACAAATAAATAATAATAGAAATACTTTAGTTCAGGATATTTACTTTTTATTTTTATCTATGGGAGTAAGACTAATAATGAAAAGAAGAATCACACATGGTATGAACGTTAAGACTATCCCTAAACCCACATACATTTTAAATTGGAAGCATGTGAATGTACTTATAAGATCATCTATGGGGGTTTTGTGTAATCTTGCAACGGTTGTTGCATATTTTCTTGCTTCTAGTTGGCATGTGGTCTTTCGAAGCATTGCCAAGATTATCAATGCAACAACATCCGTGAAAAAATTCAAGCTTGTTGCTAATGCTATATTTTTGCATAATTTGCATCCTGGGTTATAATCTTTGGTCTCATGACTATCTACGGTAGCATACAAAGGTCCAATTGTTGCATTGATGTATGCTGCGGTGAAAACTTCAAGTTGAGTTCTCCATGTGCATATTTTCCTCTCTTTCGATAAGGCCAAATTCACTCCACTTACATAAGAGAATATGCACATTCCTAAACCGAAGTATAGTGTATTAATTACAATGTAAGTTAAAATTGAAGGGTCAAGCAGCAATGAACTGGTAAGAATTATTGAAGCCACCGTTGTGCACTTCAATAAAAGAACACCAAATGTCAAAAGACCTGCATGTTCAATAACATCAACTTTAATAATGAATTTCAATATGTTTGTGTGTATATACATATTATATATTTATTTTTGATACAAATCAAATTTTAACACAAATCTGCGACACTACATTGCAAATCCAAGGTGGCGGAGCATTACCTCCAGCGATTCCAGGAGCATTCAGTGCGAAACTCCACTGCTTGCTCAACTTGAACATCACAGCGCGACCAATGTTGTAGGAGGCTGATAGAAAAGAGAACAGGAGGGATATTATAAGGATTGGTGACGGGAACCACCTTCTGTAGTCCAAATTGGTCCCCACCAACGCAATCACTGTGAACTGCAGCATAGTCTGAGGCCCAGTCTCGATTGCCACCGCGGCTGCAAACAAAGCTTCCGTCTCGTCCGACTCCAACACCTTATTTGCGCTGCAGACACGCAAAATAAAGGCACATGCCATGGGATCACCAGACTGGAATATCATGCAGCAAGTCCTCTTTCACATCCCCATATTTCAGCTTTGGTTCATTTTTCTCTCGTGATGGTTAATCAGGAAATGCAGTAACAATAACATGCCCTGTTGAAGTAATTAGGTAGACAAAGTAGTGTAATATACATACCCTGCACACGAGCCAGTCTTGAAGAAGCCTTGGATAAATCTCTTCAACTGGACCAGCGGAAGGAAAAAGGCTGATCTCAGCGGGTGCTCCCTGGCTGGAAGCTTGAGCTTGAAGATTATTGCAGTTACTATTGGGTCTAGGATTATGAATGCTAGGCATATAAGAAATGGTTCTATGCCTATCACCACATTTGAAACCCCACCGAAGCTATCCGTCCTGTAGAGAATGTAATATTCTCTCATTACGAGAATATTGCTCACGTAATCAGACAGGTACAATCCCGCTGATCCAATTTTTGCAATAGAGCTGAAAAAGACACTCCAAAAACCCTCTGGTCTGACGACCTGACTTGAAGCTGTCCTTCCTGCTTCTTCGTCGAGAGATGTGCCTCCCACCGCATGAACGGAATTGTTCCCCGTAGCCGCCTGAACTTCTACTTCACCAGCTCGGTAGCCTCCCCCCTCCACACCTTCCATCCTGCAACTCCAGAGTAAATCGTCGTGTCAAACTATTCCACGATCAAACGTGTGCAAGCTTTTCGCTAGGGTATTTTTTAACACCAATGAAGCAACGAACCCATTGCACACAATCGAATGGAATAATTGTCAAATCTAAGTCTCGGTCAAGGCCAGCATCATGCTTCAAAATACTTACTTCCGAGACCCCGATTTGCAGCTGTTTCCATCCTCTGCACCCATTCCAACTACAGAGACTGCACCTATTATGTTCATACACGTCTCGAAGAGGCCCTAGTGACACAAAACGTGCTATTATAGTGAAAACTGAGAGAAAACTTGTGCTTCAAGGCATAAGAAAGCAGGGTCTTGCAATAATTCCAACATGTGAGAGAGTACAGAAGCTAGATCGACCAGGCCATCATAACTGCCGAGATTATTTAGTCGGTACAGACATGCGGGGTCCTGTTCCAAGGAAACTACCGATGCTGCCAAGTGGAGCAAATGCAAGAGAAATTCTCGCTGATTTTCCGCCACTGTAACGGTTGCATCAGCCTCCCACACGTCGTCAATGCCACCAAGGGAGTCAGTTATTCGGCAACACGGCGGAGGTATCACGAGCTTGTAAGCCCCTGCAACTCCGTCGCTAACACCCACCATTCTGCTAGTTTTGTCGGTATCGCAATGTTCCAAACTGTGGCTTTTTTACTTGATCTTGCTGAGCTGATTGGAGAGGTCAATCAATTGCCGTGAAAGTTTTTCTAGAGGAGACTGTTGAGTGTTCTGCACTGTGAACTTAGAGCCTCATTTGTGAGAATGTTTATCATTTATCCAGAAAGAACTATATTTCAATGATAATACGACACTAGGATAACCTTTTTTAAATTCCAAGATATGAGATAGTCTTGAACATAGAGTAGAATACTGAAGAGACATTGATAGGATTAAGAACTATTTTGGGCTAACATCCATGTTAACTAGCTAATAAGAAGATCATGTAAAAGCTTCTTGACTACCTCAAACTTTTCAAAACAAGTGTCTAAGTTGAAAATCAACTTTATTGGAGCTTCTTAGATTCATAAGACTTATAAGAGAAGCTTTTATAACCAAATTGTTCATCTAAAAACACTTGTAGATTCACCTTATATTTAAAGAAAATTTAAAATATTTTATATAAATATATTATTAATTTATTTTTGCTTACTTGTATATATTTTAGTAATATGTATGTTATTGAAATTATAAAATATTTTTTAAAATAAATTTATAAAGTTTTTCTTGTATTAAAACTAGAAACCTTGTTTTAAGTATATATATATATATATATATATATATATATACTAATAAATTATAATATTATATAATAAAAAATTAAGTTAAATTTTATTATGAAAATATTAAATGTATATTATCCAAATCCAAATTTTAGAAATTTGGCATAAATAGAATGTTTTTTTATAATCATCAATTATGTTTTTTTATACCTCAATAAAAAAAAATCTTGTAGAAAATAGACAATATTGTAGCAATGTCTAAAATTAAAATTTTCTTTTATAGGTCTAATTTTTTTTAGAAACACATTTTTTTTTTATAATGATTTACTTATTTGAAGAATTATTTCTTTTAATATTTTAAAGAATAAAATAATTAGACTTCTCAAATTTATTTTGTTTTATTTTATCTTTCTTTTCAAATATCAAAAAATACATAAGTGGGATCATTGTGGTGTTAAAAAGTCATATGAACACGAGCATAATCATGTATCATTAATATTTTGTACAAGTTTCTTTATAGAATTTTCACACTAAGTTATTGATGCACTTTCCTTTCAAATCTCAGATACATTTTCAAGCTATAAAAGCACCATTCAATCCCATGCTTTTATTTGTGCTACTACGTTGTCGTGTTGTAACATGACTATATGGTGAAAATATAAATAAAAAGATTTTATTAATATTTAGTCATCTTGGTTGATAAAAGCTCAAGACAATTTAGGAAGGCTTTATAAAAGCTTTTAGAGTATTTTCTTGTCTTGATAGCTAGTAGATAAAAGCTTGTCATTAAATTTTCTTTCTAGATTGTAGAAACTATTTTACCACTTTAAAAAGGCCATAAATTAGTAAAAACAAGGTAGATGAAGTAAAAAAATGATATGGTAGATAATAAGGTGAAGTTGAGGATAGAGAAGTGCTGAAAAACCTTTAGGATAAGTAGGATTGATATCTGAGAGATGACCGTTTGTGGGTCGGGGTTGAAACCATACCTCTAGCCACTAAAACGGCCAATTAGGATTAAGTAGGGGGGCATTCGGAGATCGGGATTTGGGGTCGGAGAGCTAGCTTCAAGCTCCTTCCAAAAGATTTCTGCAATATCTAGAGATCTATCAGCTGGAATAAGGTGAATTTTGGCGTGGTAAGTGGAGGGTTTAAAGGCGGAGCTGCACACAAAGTTTGAATGAGAATTAACACTTGGAGAAGGAGAAATTGCAATTCAAAGTTCGTCATCAACTTTCTAGGTGGCGGTCAAGGGACATCAGTGTGGATTTATGGCGTTTTCTTGCAATCTGTAAGTTGGATTGGATTGAAATTTCTTGAGCATTTAGAAGACTTACAAAGACACTAGTGGTAGCAGTTTTATAATAATTGGACAATTAGATTAAGAATTACAGCTTGCCAAAGCTCATTGTCTAGGATTAAGATTTAAAAATTTAAAAATTAAAAATTAAAAATTAAAATTAAAAAAAAATAATATTACTAATAAAAAAATAAAATAAAACTAAAAATAATAAAAGAATTTATACTTATAATATCTTAAAATTATTAAAAATAGTATTTCTAAGTATTTTGTATTGGGATTAAGCTTTTACATTGAAATCCGAAATAGTTTGTATTTAGATGGTTGAAACCCACTAGACTACTTGGATACTTGCAAAACATTGTTTTATCTTCCACAACCAGATGCATAGTGCATTCTCAAGTAAGATAGCACGTAGTACGATATAAGTGGTGAACTCGACGTGAAGGCTTGAAGTGGGAGGTATTGGAATTCGTTTATTTTTATTTTTATTTTATGGAGAACAAGAATAAAAATTTTGAAGGATCTTTGAGAGGAGCTTCAAGTGGAGCTTCTGGTAGAGTTTCTTCTAAAGGACAAGGTATGTACATGGATCCATGCATTGCTAGTATGTTTCAAGCCTTATCATTATCTATGCAGCAATAGCAAAGCAATGATCGCAAAGAAGCTTTAGCAACCAAAGCATTGCAAGCAGTGGTCAATAAAATTGATCAATTTGATGGAAGGGATATTTCAAAGTATTTAAGATGTTATGTTTTGGAAATGGAATTAAATCAGGTTTCTGAGAAGATGATGGTTGAATTATTTGGACTTGCCATGATATCGGAGATAAATAAGCATATTACATCAATTATGAAGCATTATGGAAATTCATGGGAGATTTTTTCAATGGCTTGAAGAAAGTTAAAAATTTCTAAGAAATTTTAAACTTTCTTTCTTGATGAAAATTTTTAACTTTCTTTGTTGATGAAAATTTCTAAAAAGCTTGTCATTTGTATTGATAGCTTGTGATATAAATTAACAATATAGCACACATATAAAAAAAACTTGTTTTGCAAGTTGAGACATATATTTCATAAATTGAAATATATTGATGGTCCTACAGAATGTTGTCCCATTGCTCTTAGGTAGATAATATATATAGAGACAAGAGTAAATTCTTCTTCACTCTTGTTAATTTTTTTCTTGCTTCTAATTTAGTTTCAAGGATCTCTAATTTTCTTATTTTTTTGGCAATAGCCATTCTAGTTTTTTTTTTTTTTAATAATTATATTTTCTTATCATTGAATTCTTGTCTTTGACATCTTATGCTATTCAATAAGTAATATATGCTTTTGAATTTTTTTTGTTAGCAGGTGCCAATAAAATAATAATGTGTATAGAGATTTATTGCATCAAGGTTGTAGGCAAACAAAGATAGGTGCATGATCCAAAATATGGACTTAGGAGGGCCAAATAGTAATTTGGTTCTAATCTAGATCAATTGTTGATTCATATAGAACCTATTAAGGTCCCATGTTCTTATACAAGGCTAGTTAGTCTTGCTAAAAGGAAGATTCTCATTCCATCATTGAAATTATATTTACTTGTACTATAAATGGCTTACTTCTATAACAAGATTTCTTTGCTAAATTTGATTTTTTTAGTAGATTTCTTCTTTTTATCTAATAAGAATTTATGTTCTTAGACTAAAAGGATTTTAAATTAAGGATATAATTTTTTAAAACAAATCCTTAATATTATATTTTTTACACTCATTAATATTATCATCACTAAGGCCTTGTATATTAAACAACCTTAGTATAAAGTGATTAGTTATCTAAGGTATCTATTTACAAAGTTATTAATTTTTAATTATAATTTTTATAACTAGATGATGGAATAATTATATTAGGATAAAGATAGAGATCCTATGATAATCCTGCTTGATTGCATCCTAAGAACAAAAGTAGGTTATTAATTTTTATTTTTCATGCTTATATTCTATGTTGTAAGAAACAAGGTAAATATTCTTATGTAGCCAAAAAAAATGCGTGCCATCAAAATTTCTTTAAGTTCTTTAGAGTAGAAATATCTTTGTTGTATTGAATGTATGTTTTTATGGTCTATTGAAACTTATTTAGAATTGGTTGCATTTAAGAATTTAACTAGGATAAGACTTCTTAAAATTTTAGTGGATTTATATATTTTTGTTTTAAGATGATTTTTTCTTAAAGATGTAACATGGTTTTATTAACAAGGTACAATTGTATTTATATTATTATTTAGGTTTTTTCCTCCATAACTTATAATAGGTAGAATTTTTATGAGAGATTTTTCTAATATATTGATAAAGACTTTTAAAAAGCCTTCTTTGGATTTAAAGAAAGTATAAAAAATAATTTCCAAAGCAACTATTTTTTTAGAGTTCTTATTAGAAATAAACACCATCTATAAGCTATGGTGCATGGTAATAGTATTATAGTTGTACTTTCCTATCGATGATGGTATAGAAATAGCAAGGTGTTTATAGTCCTTGTTGTTTTTGAGTTGTTAGAGAAAGTATTGAGATTTAGTGATGTTGATTTTTGCTACAACTTTGCATTTTAAGGATTGGAGATTTAAAACCTAATCCACTTCACTTGAGAATGCAAACATTGTTTGTCTTCTATCAATGCTATACTATTGATATTTTTTACTTATACATTCTATAGATGGTTGTCTAGGAACTAGGCACAATTGTATCATTTGATCAAAAGAAAAACATCAATTATATTATAATATGAGTTTATTGTACTACAATATATATTCTATGTCTCTTTTGTCATCTATTCTGAATAGTAGTATTAATTTAGAGAGGGATTGTACATTGTCACATAGGATGCAAACTTTGGAATCCAAGAGTCTTATTAGGTATGTATCAATGTTGTTGACATAAATGACTTTGTTGAATATCTCAAAGGTTTTGCAAAAGAATTCTTACATTTTGATGAATGATGGAATTTCTTAAATTTGTATTCAAATTCCAATTTTTAGACAAAGTTTGTCAAGAAGAAGGTCTGCATTAAAATAAATGTATATATTTGATGCTTCTTTTATCTAAAATATAATATAGTTCTCCTAGTATGCATTTTTTTTTTTTTTTTTTTTTTTTTTTTAAATTAGACTTCAAAGTAATTATTTTATATTATTGTAGTTTGGCAAAAAGATAGATGAAGGTTCAATTTGGCCAATGGCGCCAATTTTTTGGCTCTTGAGGTACACTTAAATATGTGTCTTAAAACCATAAATTTTGTTAGGTTAATCATCATCTCTTTATAGAAATATATGCAGTTTAGTACCAATATAATCCACATAAGAGGAGACTACTCCAAATTATAAATTATCTTGTTATATTCTATGTGATTTATCTATTCTCTTCGTTCTAAGGTTGGAAGGTTGTCAAGTGGTAGGTGGAGTTGTAAGAGAAAAGAAAATTCTTTGGAGATGGAAGTTATACCTTCTAAGTTTTTGATACCTTCATTTTTTGTTGAATTACATTCTTTGTGGTGATGAAGCTAGTGTGATTATAGGAATCTAATAATGTCTAAAACTACCCTGATAAGTAAGTTTGTAACTTTGTCATATTTTATATATATATATATATATATATATATAAATCAAATTCAAATGTAGGTATTTTTTAAGTAAGTAAACTAACTAATTTTTATCTAGCTTCTATTCTCTTGAAATTTTTGAGGTTTCTATCTTTTATTTATTTAGAAATATGAGATACCATCTTATTAAAAAAAAAAAATTGCTAGGGTGTATCCTATAGAGAAAAAAGTCTAGACCTCTAATAATTGTATATTCTAATATGGAATGAAACATTGTAAATCTTCTAAATCAACCAATGTAGGCAAAATTTGGAATGAGGGATGCAGATTTTCTTAAGGTTGTGCCATGGTCCAATACTTTGATATGCCAATTGCATGTGCATGCTCAATTTCATAGTCTTTTCTTTCCAAATCAATTACCTTAGTGACTCTATAGGTATATCCATTGTTCTTGTGCATATCTTGAGTTTGCTATGGATTTGGATTTGGTTTTGAACTTTGAATGATTACCTAATGCCTTCTCATTTCTAATAGATTCCTATATTGATATTATTTCTCTTACAATGATCTTTCTTCTACTCCTCTTCATGGCCCTACTATTATGTAATTGACAATGAACTTGTCCTTTAGTAGTGCTTTAGTCCAATCAACTACCAAATTTATGTCCATTTTAATGAAATCAACTTGTATTGGATGCAAAATGTTCTACAAAGGACACACTTCACAATGGGGATGGTAGCTCAAAAACAAAAAATATTGCGGTGTTAATAAAGCTAGTATAACCAAAATAAAAATCATTTAGAAAGACACATGGCATGATTCCGTAAAATAAATACAAATAAACCAAGAGAAAACAGTCTCAAAGGTACAAATTTTCGTTGTTAAATTTCCACGTGCTTATTATTATATCAAATTAACGACCTTTAAATAAACCATGATGCTTTTACAACACGACATCAACATCCAAAATGTCTTATCGCATTTAAATACAAAAAAACTTGTCTTTAAAAGGTTATTTTTCCCATTTTTTCAACAGTGTCATATATAAAGAAGTGACCAATAATAGTTCACTGGGAAGAAAGTAAAAGGTGATTGAAAAAGCACAACGGAAGGGGGAAAAAGCCGCGGGTGAGGGAACGGGCCAGGTCGCGGGCGAGGTGACCGGCGCCGTGTAAAGTCCTCGTCGCGAGCAAGGCCCACTCGCATTTGGTTTTGCAAGCCTCGACGATCGATCGATCGAGTTGTGTTGCGAAATCGATCGATCGAGTTGCAAGGCCAGACTCGTGTAGAATCAGGACATGCCGGGGGAGATTCAGAGGAAGCAGACCTGGCACGGCGACATGGTGAAGGCGCAGGAGCGCATTCACGCTCTTCACCGCGTCTTGGGTGCTTTCGACTCTTACAACGCTCTTCTGGCACGTACTTCCGTTACTTCCCAGCTATCAATTCTTCCTCGATCTCCTTCTCGTGGGATCGATCGAATGCTTTCTTTCCCTCCCCAAGTATCTGTTTTACCTCATTCTGTGCTCTCACGTTGTTACGTACACAGTGTAGAGATTATTTGCGGTGAGTTTTGATTCGGATTTTACCTCACATTAATCGGATGGGGGATTGAAAGGATACATGAATATAAATAAGTGTATAAATATTTTTTTTGTGTATCTGCACGTAATGATGAGTGACGAGAGTTTCCGTTACTGGGACTTGATATCGTGGTCTCTTGTGTAATTGGTGCCCTTAGTGTGAGAGGTGATGTCTCCGTCTGACTTAATTGGGGGGCATCATTTACGTTTTCAGGATTCTGAGCTGCCTGCGAAACATTTGCTCCATGATGAAAACGTCGCGGATAAAATTTCCAGGCGGCTTTTGCAACCAACCTCGGGGAAGGTGAGTTGCGGGGCTAATGCGGTGGATGTGTTGTATGATTCGTGACCTAAGCACCGACTGAGGAGTCTCACTTTCTCTAAAAGATTGAGGATTCAACTCAAGATTCTAATGTATTGACCTATTTGAAGCTCACTAACGAATATGCGTTGTTTTAGCAGGGGAATGATCAAGTCTGCCAGTGGCTTTTTGACACTTATCAAACGCAAGATCCCGCCTTGCAACTCGTGGTGCTTCGCTTCCTACCTGTTCTTTGTGGGGTCTACTTACCTCGCATTACCACCAGTCCAGACGGACCTTTAGCAGGTACATACATGTAAGTACATAAATCTAGAGTGAGCAATTCCTACGTCTCAAGGATCCGATGCACTTTTGTCAAGTCAATTCATTATTTATTTGATTCGAAGAGTCTAATTACAATATCATCGGAGTGTGCTGGCTTTCCTCTTCAGACGCCCATTTTTCATTCTTTTAATGTGTCGTGTTGCAATTCTTTCATCTTTGATCAACAGCACGTGTGCTCATGGCAGGTTTTGAGGCGGTTCTGCTGGCACTGTATGCTGCAGAAACCAAGGCTCGTGGAGGAAGGCCTGTGATGATTAACATTCCAGATCTCGGCCATGCCAGCCTCTACCATTCCCCGCGCCAGACAGTTGGCTCTCCTCAACCTGTAAGCCATTCATATCCTTAATTATGCATCTCTGCTGCTAAATCTTTAATGGTAGAATCCGTTTGATTTTGTGGCTTCATTGCGGAAAGGGGGATTGAAGACTCTCGCACATTGTACCGTGTCTGTTCACAGCATGTTGAAGTCATTTCACCAGCATTGGAGCCTCAAAGCTCAGTGAAGAGCACAAAACGGACAGTGATCGTAGCAGTTGCTCTCGAGTTATTCTACAAGCGGATCATAATGATGCCATCAAAATCGAAGTTTGACCTGTGTCATTATGCTAGAAGGTCCGTGGAAATTAATTCGAATTTTGTAATTTTCACTTTATGATCATGCAGGGCATCTAGGTTGATGTGATTGTCATGTTAATTATTTACTCAGAATTTGTGTTTTGTCGATTATTATTGATCACGTTAATTTCCCCAATCCAATAGTACTTGATCTTGGCAAAGACTATTTTTACACAATCTGGAATTCTGTTTTGATATGGCAGCTGGGCAGTGAAGGGTTGCAGCTGGAGCAATGCAGTTGAGACCTTGGCAAGGTCTGCGCTACCACCGCCTCCTTCCCTAAACCCTGCTCAAGTAGGATCATCTTCATCGTTAGGAGCTGCATTGACGCTTGGCGAGGCCCTCACTTTAGATCAGGAGCCTCAAGATCCACCACTTCTGAAGAAATCCAATCGACCAGGAAGATGGGATGTATCCGGTATGGCTAAACGAAATCCATTCCACTTCCTTACTGCGTGACTTGAGGTTCCACAATTCGATCAATGCTGCCCATTGGCAGCTTGATGCTCATCGAACATGAACCGGGTTATGTTAACCATGTATTTCACTAATCATTTGGGACTTCAGCCTTGCAGCAGCACGTTCCACAATTGAGATATGAGCAACCTTGTGACTTCCGAATGTTGTGAATGTTTGCTCCTCATGAGCTGTATTGTGTCATGAACTGTGCAGATCCGCCAGGAAATGACGCTAACGATCGCGATGCGGCCTGGGAGGCCGACTATCAAGATAACCCTACTGATGGCCCTCGCATGTCCCTAGAGCTAGAATTGCTTCGCCCTGTGTTTAAGATCCTCGGGCACTGCCTGATGGCTCCTTTAAGTAGCCCGACCCTCAAAGCTGCGGCGGTAGAAGCTGCGAAAGCATTGTATGCCAGGTCGTCGCAGACTTTGCTTCCCGAAGCTATGCTCGCTTCTCGAAGCCTCATACGACTCAGCATGGGCTCCTCCTCACTGTCACTCTCCCTCTCTACCAAAGTTTAGGGTTTACCAAGGTGCAGAAGGCCAGCAGAGTGTTTAAGTTTAGATGATACTTGAGGGATTATTATTGTTTTTGGTGCTGCAACAACCATTCTTGCCTGACTTTAATTATTCGTTGTCACTCTTGGGTCGGTTCATTATTCTACATGTGGCCCACATATCTATCATGCCATATACACCGTAATGGCAAATCGAAATTTCTCTTTCACTTGTCCCCCCTGAGGCCTTGAATTTTAAACCTTGCGCTTGGATGATATTGATGGAAGTTGATGGAAGTTGGTACCACAAATAGTGCGACATAATAGTTCATGCTTTGAGAATGTATGAACAAATCACTCAGAATTTCTTAAATATGAAATTTCTTAAAAATGAAATTCTTAGTGAAAACGAGTATTTCAAATACACTAACATTGACACATAAGTACGTGTTTACTTATTTACTATTACGAAAAGGTTGGCATATAAATCAATGGACTAAAAAGTCTAATTTGATGACGTGTCTGTGGAGACGTCATGGAGAATTAAGGGTGCCCAACTGTCACTTGTTGTCCTTCCAGGGGCGAATGAACAAAGAAGTTCATCCAAGGAGGGAGTAATCATCCATCTATCACGTTCGAGGTGTGTGTGAGTGTGTGTGTGTATTGTCTTCGTCCTCCTGGAGCCTGTTACGAAGAAGGTTTTTTTCTGGATTTGGAAACCCTTAATTGCAGCCAATTTCGAGAACAGAGGAGGAGGAGCAGTAGGGGAAGAAGAAGCCCTGGATCAAGAGCTAGGGTTTTCGACGTCGTGGTGCCAACCACGACGTCGACAATGGAGGTCACCGCTGTGACAGAGAAAGGCATAGCCCCTGTGGTGACAGCGAAATCGTTCCTTCCCGAGCCTGTCGTAGCGGAGGTCGAAGAGGAGGATCTGTATACTCGGCAGAAGCTCCTGCAGCGGCAGCTGGAGTTTTTGGACATTCAGGAGGAGTATATCAAGGATGAGCAGAAGAATTTGAAGCGTGAGCTGCTTAGGGCGCAGGAAGAGGTGAAGCGTATTCAGTCCGTGCCGCTTGTGATTGGGCAGTTTATTGAGATGGTGGATCAGGACAACGGGATTGTCGGGTCGACCACTGGCTCGAACTTTTATGTGAGGATTTTGAGTACGATCAATCGGGAGCTTTTGAAGCCGTCGTCGTCGGTTGCGCTTCATAGGCACTCGAATGCGTTGGTTGATGTGTTGCCCCCTGAAGCTGATTCCAGTATCTCTCTATTGACACAATCCGAGAAGCCCGATGTATCGTATAACGTACGTTTGTCCTATCTTGCACACAAAAAAATTGTGTATTTATTTTTTTTTATTTTTTTGGGATTTACCTGTGCAAATTGTACTCAAGCAGATTTAGCCGCTCAGCAAGCTGAAACGATGATTCTCGACTAGAATGTGATCTGAATTTTTTTATTTCTCCCGCACAAGGAACTCTAGGTTATTCCTACAAACTCCACATAGCTTTGAAGTGAAATGTGTGATTTTAGCATTGATGGTTGCAACTTTCAGCGCAGTGTCATGGTTTTTGCTTGTTCAATCTGATAATCCTGCAAATACTTTCAGTATTATCTGAAGTTACTATCGCCCTTGCCTAGTACATCTAGATTATGGAGTTAGGGTTTTATCTTTGTTAGAGATTCTGTTGTCGGATTCTTATGAGTGTATAGATCATTCCGCTGCATCGTCTCAGGGTTTGATTGATCACTACTCACGACCAAGTCGCTTTATCCACTGTAGCCAATTAGCTCAAAAGCATTACAACTGCGACTCAGCGATGTTCCCAATATTCAGCATTTCATTGAGAACATGTACATCTCGGGAAGGCTTGTTCATCTGCATGAATCTGTTGTTATAATGTTTGCAATTCTTACGAGTGCAGTTTTTTAATACTTTCATATTGTCGAATGGTGGTGGATGCAGGATATTGGTGGATGCGATATTCAGAAACAAGAAATCAGGGAAGCTGTGGAGCTTCCACTTACACATCACGAGTTATATAAGCAGATTGGTATTGACCCACCTCGAGGCGTCTTGCTCTATGGACCTCCTGGAACGGGAAAGACCATGCTTGCCAAGGCTGTCGCTCACCATACCACTGCAGCTTTCATTCGTGTTGTTGGTTCTGAGTTTGTACAAAAGTATCTTGGGGAGGTAGGGTTTCTGACATAATCACTTCATTAGATTTTGTTTGTGTCTGTCACCGCTTTTTAGTTTTTAAAATTTTTATCTCTTTTCATGTGATAAGTTTAGCTTCCTCTTTTCAGGTATTTTATGCACTCTCAGGAAACGTAGTTTTGAAATGGTCTATGTTATAGGACGTCGGTTGAACTATGTTTGAGTATCTCGCATGTAATGTTATTACAGGGTCCCCGTATGGTGCGTGATGTATTTCAACTGGCAAAGGAAAATGCCCCAGCTATTATATTTATTGATGAAATTGATGCAATCGCAACAGCCCGTTTCGACGCTCAAACTGGAGCAGACAGGGAGGTACAGCGTATATTAATGGAACTTTTGAATCAGGTATAACATTTTTCTGGTTCGAAGTTTGTCAAGCATGTTCTCCGATTTTAGAGCGATGTTCCAATGTCTGTTGAATTGAAGTCTTTTGTTTCTGCTTAGGTGTTGCGCTTTCTCATACATGTTTTGTGTTTGGTTGCAGATGGATGGGTTTGATCAGACTGTCAATGTCAAGGTGATCATGGCTACCAATCGAGCAGATACTCTTGACCCCGCTTTATTGCGACCCGGACGTCTTGATCGCAAAATTGAATTTCCACTGCCTGACAGGAGGCAAAAGCGTTTAGTCTTCCAGGTATGAATCCTTCTTGCTCAGGCTTGTGATTTCGTTCGTTTCAGAATCCTACAGGTGCGTTTTGGAAATCGATGCGTGGCATCTCTTTTGGACTTCGTCGTGGTTAATGAATGTGTGGACTGAGAATTCGAACAGGTATGTACTGCAAAGATGAATCTAAGCGAGGAGGTTGATTTAGAAGACTATGTTTCTAGGCCTGATAAAATAAGTGCTGCTGAGGTGCGTTCTTTCACAGCGTCATTCCTGCACATTTTAAGTGATCTTTTAAAATTTGATAAGTACTGGCGAACACTGTTTCCAGATTGCAGATGCTTGTGATTCTCGGATGATTCAGTTGTGCTGCTATAAAATCTGATCTCATTTCAAATCTCAATTGAATCGGACCTGTAGGAGTTGCTTATCTGATCCGACTGATTTTTCATGACTTGCAGATTTCTGCTATCTGTCAGGAGGCTGGTATGCATGCAGTAAGGAAGAATCGCTACGTGATTTTGCCCAAGGATTTTGAGAAAGGCTACAGATCTAACGTTAAAAAGTCTGACACAGACTTTGAGTTCTACAGATAGATGCCTATTTTTTTGTCTGATCTTTGATGTTCACCTGGATATCAAGTTAAAGATAAATTTGTTTACTGATCCTCTTAATGGTCCCAACTAAGTCATGGAGAGGGACTGCTTGCCCTTGTAATTTCTACTATAGAATTTGTGAAGATTTTCTTTCAATAGATAAACTTTGTACACTCCGTTTCTTGTGTCCATTGGTGAATTAAAATCGAACAATACAATTATGGTTTCATGAGCTGCTGCCTTACCGTAGTTTAACCCATAGTTAATTTGTTATAATAAACTTGATTAAAATAATTATCAGAAACAAGTCATATCAATATATCATTGTTTGGGAATCTTTGACTTACTTCAACCAAGTCCAACCTCCAAATCTAGTCTATTGAACAAAATATTTTTTAACTAAGCAAAATGCAACCATTTTGGCAATTACATCCTAGATAGTGTTTTGTAAATCTACATTAACAAATCTTTAAATTTCATCTTGGATATGCATTAAAAACAACTTTTGGTCAATATCATGGTTTTTTAGGCATTTGACAATTTGTAAAAATTATAAAATTTTATTTCTATTTCTATTTATTTAGGTAGTTATTGGAGTGAATATGTATGTTTGTGATAAGTAGTCAAAGATGTGAAGTTGCCCAATTCATTTGGCAATAATGTCAAGCTTGATCACTCTCTTATATATAAGGTATTTAAATATGTGGCATTGCTTAATTTATTTGGTTATGATATTAAGCTTGAATAGTTGTTTATATTCAATGTAGTCAAAGATGTGAGGTTATCCAATTCATTTGGCAACAATGTCAAACTTTAGTACTATCTTAAATAGAAGATAGTTAAAGATGTCAAATTGTCCAATTCATTTGGAAATGAAATAGAGCTTAAGTAGCTTGATATATCCAAGGTAGTGAAAGATGTGAAGTTGCATTATTTGTTTAACAATGATGGTAAGCTTGAGTACATTGATATATTTAAGATTGTCAACGATGTGAGGTTACTCAAATTATTTGGCTATGAGATTAAGTTTGAGAAATTGCTTATATAAAAGATCATTAAAGATGTAACATTATTCAATTCATTTAACAAATATATCAAGATAGAATACCAATCCATATAAAACATAATTAAAAATTTGAGATTTTTTTATTTATTAAGCAATGATGTTAAGCTTGAACACTTGTTTATATTCAAGGTAGTATCAAGAATAAGAACTCAAAGAATACAAATAAATAAGTAAAATATTTCTCAAAAAAAGATGGCAAAAAAAAATATCAATAAATATGTATATTCAAGAAGAAACTAGAATGGCTATAGCCAAAAGGCAAAAATACTAAAAACTCTTGAAACTAAACTAAAAACAAGAAGAAAATTGATAAGAGTGAAGGTGGCTTCACTTTTGCCTCCATATATATATATATATATATATTATCTAACAAGATATGTAGTGGCATTCTATAGAACCTCAAACACATATCCAACTTGCAAGACATGTGTCTAATTTGTACAACAAGCTTCTTATATGTATGCCATATGTCCAACTTGTACCACAAGTGACCAATATGCGAGACATGTGGCCAACTTGTTGACCAAGTTTTCAACCTACCAACTATTTATAGATACATAAAAGCAAAGCTACAACTATGAAGCCTCTAAGAAACTTCTCTATAAAATATTATCAAATTTATCTAATTTTATTTATTTTTATTATTTAGGTAATTATTAAGGTAAATATATATGTCTGTGACAAATAGTCAAAGATATAAAGTTGCCCAATTCATTTAGCAATGATGTCAAGCTTGAGTACCAACTTATATATAAAGTAATTAAATATGTGATTTAAAAATATTCTATCAATACCAATATTTTTATCATTGTACATCTTATAATACTTATTTAAAAGCTCCATTGTTTTTTTTAAGTTTTTTTTTTTTTCTTTTTTTTTTTTCTTTCTTTGGTTTCTATTATGTATAAATATACAAAAAGAAGTTTGTGTGATAATTAGATGTTATAAAATAAACTTTGATATCAAACTATTAGTACTATATACAAGTTTTATTAGAATCATTTTTAGTTTTTCATAACTTGTTAGAAATAAATTAGACAACTTCTTAATATAATGAAGTTAAAATATTTGTATTAAAATATTAGAAAATATAATCTTCTACAAGTTTAAAATATAAAAAATGATTAAAGATATTTTAAATTAAAATTTAACCATATTTTAGATAACTATTTATTATTATATATATATATATATATATATATTTTGTTGAAATCCTAACGATCAGATTTTATTAAATAAAAATAATCTTGTAGTTTTGTTCAATAAATACCTTTATCATGAGCATTCCACTCAAAACCTGAAATACAGATTAGATTCATGGATTTACGGGCATTTCCAACTTTCAACCACATCCCAAACCTTATTCATTTACACAATATCCAATAATTTGAGGAAATCAAGGCATTCATGACGCTCGGTAGAAGCAAAAGATTTAAAGCTTATTGTTGCACACGCACAACACAAAGTAAGCAAGCTGAAAGAATAACACCGTCCCAGTGTAGTCGGTTACAGAAAGTGAAAAATCCAGCTCCTGAAGAACAGGTCTTAGAACAGTTTTTCAGATTACCGGGAAGAAATATTTTAATCCTGGAGGTCACACAGCAGATGGGTATTGAACTTAAGGCTATGGGATTCTCCTCTTTACTATCATTCTTCATAAATACAATGTTGACTTAGAGCTGCACAAATCTACCCAGCTGCTGTGGCTACAACGATGCCAGATTTCAGTTAGTGCAGGATTGTCTGGTTTGTCGAGAGACGCAAGAAATGGGAAGATGCAAAAAGCGGAGGGAGCTTCACATCGGAGTTCACGACACAGACGTGTCGCAAAAGAAAAGCTCACAAACTCAGTGACTGAGGGTGGGGAGAGAGAGACTGCAGTAGGGCCCTCATCCCGAACCTGAATAGACAAATGTGTCTTGTGAGTCGTGGTCGATCAACATCTGTGCATGCATCCAAGGCCCTCATCAAAGTCCTCTCGAGTGATCGATTCACGCATGAGCGACGCTAGCTAGTATAGTGAACATGGTCCTGCATAGACTCCACTTTCCTAATACACTTTTTTCTATCAGCAAGCCGCACTAGAGTTGCTAAATGGAGAGGCTGTGAAGTTACTGGGAGAGAAGTCAGTGTCTTTTGACAAAGCTATATACTTGACACACTGCAGTTAAGCACACTCCGTGCAACGCTTAAGTCACGGTGTTCGGTTTCATTACGTCTGTCTCTCATCCTATAGCCTAAGTTGTTTTTTCTGTCTGTTGTTGGTTTTCTGTGAATCCAGTTCTGTCGAGGAGCTGAAATTTGTTCCAAGGTGGATGCCTGAGCCCGCTATTTGTTGCACGAGGGGTGGTTGAAATCTTGAAGTTGTGCGTACATGTCCTTTATAATGACGTTCTGTCCCTTTCTAGGAGGTATTCGAGTTTGCGTCGTGGATAAGTGAAAAGGTGATGGAGTTTTCTTGGTTGGGTTTTCAGTGCTGTAAGCTGACGTAGTCCGAGCTGCGAAGGTCATTCTGAATGGAAGGCAAATTTCTCATTAATTTGTTTCAGTTTTCCATACTACAATTGAATTTGGACTTATCATTCGAAGATAATCCGAAGGTTGCGAAACTGCCTCCGAACCTACACATCTGCTTGAATCCACCAGTGCCCATTCTTCAAACCAGCCACAAGGTCTCTCAGAGAAATTCCTAATTTTGAGACCTTGCCCGCTATGAACCGCAGATGATTAGATTGACAGCAGAATTCTGACGCGGTGTTGCATTTCGTGCCCCGTCTATTTGTGTGGCTCCTTCCATACAGCAATTACGGTAATTCACCAGCGTGGGAGCTTTGATTCAGCGATTATCACCGAGTTCATTTCACCCAATCGGGTTGAGAAGAATTGCTCTGTTATATTCGTGTGGTTATTCGTGTGGCTATTCGTGTGGTTTTGAATTTCTTGTGCATGGAAAAGGTGGCTCGATTACCCAACTTTCAAGGCGAATGAGGCTAGCTACAAAAGGATGGTAATACACACAATTTCCTTGGATCTCATTTTGGACATTGATTCGGGATCCTTACCTGGGGTTACATTTACAAATCTCAAATTCCGTTGATTAAGTATAAATTCAACCTTCTCTCACTTTGACCACATGCAGAAGAGATATATTAGTTGATTTGTCATCACATCTATGGGAAAGGGTTTGCATCAAAGAAAGAAGTGAGTAGAAGATTACTTTCCAAACTAGGTATGGACATTTTGAATATAATATCATGCCTTTTGGAGTCACAAATACACTAGTTGCTTATTAACATCTCATGAATGATGTCTTTTGTGAGTTTCTTGATGATTTTATTATCTGTTATTTAGACAACATTTTAATCTACTCTAAGAATATAAAAGAACATTAACTTCACATTTTTTGTGTCTTGTAAAAACTTAGAAATGCAAGACTATATGCAAAAATAGAAAAGTGTATATTCTATACTATTCAAGTTGATTTCTTAAAATACTTCATTTCCAACAAAGGATTAATGATGGATTCTAAGAAGATTCAAACTATCATGGATTGAAAGGTTCCAAAAATAATCAAAGATGTATAATATTTTTAAAATTTATCAATTATTATAATATCTTTATTAAGAATTGTTTTCAAGTTGTGGATATTCTTACACATTTGACTTGTAAAGACAAATTCAACCTTCTCTCACTCTGACCACATGCAGAACAGATATATTAGTTGATTTGTCATCACATCCATGGGAAAGGGTCTACACAAAGAAGAAAAAGGTGCAAGATGCAGGCACAAAGGGGAGCGAACAGCTCACCAAATATGGGACGGTGGACAGGAAGGGTTACACAGCTGACACAAGGAAAACAGGCGGCTCGGCTGGAGAGCTGCCTCTCTTATCTTCGGTACGCCAATTCTCTTGTCTCTCCTGTGAATTCCTGGAGGAGAACTGACAATTACACCAAGATGATCAATAGACAAGTAGCTCTCATATTTTCAACTCTTAACATCGAAAAGTAACTCCAGCATGTTGAGGAGTAAGGAAGCTGTCCAAAGGACAAGCATTTATATAATAGTTGTTTCCTCCATGAGGCAGACACAGAGATGTGCCAGCGAATTGGTTCATTGGGCCTTCAACGAAACTTGGTGACTTACTTCACCACCGAAATTCATCTGAGCAATCCGAAGGCAGCAAACATGGTGTCCAATTTCGTCGGAGCTCTATACTTCACGCCCTTCATCGGGGGATTCATGGCGGATGCATACTGGGGTCGGTTCTGGGCCATCACTGGATTTGCCACCATTCAAGTAGTGGTAAGATCCATTGCATGTGTACACGAATGATAGTACCTCCGAAGATCAAATAAAGAAACAAGTGTCTTGTTGTGGATAGTAGGCCTAGCATACGTGACCATTGTAACACTTTCTAACAATTTGAAGATGACGTGAATTTTTTAACCAGGAAATGATACTGCTCACTATGTCCGCTGCACTGCCATCGTTGAGACCAGCTCCATGTCCAGCTGATTCCTCTCTGCCCTGTTCTTCTGCAAGCACCGCTCAGCAGGCAGTGCTCTACTTGGGACTCTATCTTATTGCTCTTGGAAATGGTGGAATCAAACCTAATGTGTCGTCTATGGGTGCGGATCAGTTTGACGAGATTTACGACAAGGAGAAGAAGCACATGTCCAGTTTCTTTAACTGGTACTACTTCGTCATTTCGATCGGCTCCCTTCTGTCCGTCACCATATTCGTGTACATTCAGGTTTGAAATGATCTGCATGCGAAGCTTGTGAATTAATGTCCTGCGCTAAGATGCAGCATTGTCAAATTAGGTGCTTAAACGAGGGCTTGGGCAACCTATACACGATTGCAGCTGAATATCTTGACCTCACTTCGACTTCGAAACTTGAGGTTAATGGGTTAACTTCATGCCTGACATTGTCGGCTTGTCGATGAAGGACAACGTTGGTTTTGGATGGGGATTCGGAATTCCAACTGCAGTGATGTTTTGCGCAATTATCGTGTTCTTTTTCGGTTCCCCCCTCTACAGATATAAGTTGCCTCGTGGGAGCCCTCTGACATCTGTAGCCCAGGTCTTAGTTGCTGCGGCTCGGAATCGCAGGGCAAAGCTCGACAACAATAGTGTAATGCTGTATGAAGATCAAGCAGAGAGGCAGTGCCCCCTCGAAATTCTTGCTCACACCGAACAATTCCGGTACTGGTTTTGCTGAATTAGTTGATGTTGTTTCATGGATGAAGAATATATCTTCTCAACCCCCATATGTAGTTTTGGAGAAAGCAGTACTTGCAGACTCCATTGAAGGATGACATCTCGAGCGGGTGTTCAAAGGGTTCAAGGATTGATGGGTTTAAGAAATCTACGCCGAAGTAATGCCTGCCAATTCGCAGGTTTCTCGACAAGGCTGCGGTGACGGTAGCCGGCCCGATCCATGGCGACTCTGCACGGTGGCACAAGTGGAAGAGGTGAAGATGATCCTCCGTTTGTTTCCCATCTGGGTGAGCACTATCGTAGTATGGACGGCGTTATCTCAAATGGAAACCTTCTCCGTGGAGGAAGGGGCTACCATATGGGCCCTCACTTCAAGTTCCCCCCGGCATCACTCTCCGTCTTCGAGCTTGTCAACGTGCTCTTAATCTTACCGCTGTATGATCGCTTCCTGGTACCCTTCCTGAGGAGATTCACGGGTCATTCCCAAGGCATCACTCATCTTCAACGCATTGGAACGGGAATTGTGTTCTCGATACTGGCCATGCTCATCGCTGGCTTTGTGGAGGTACTGCCTCTCACAATCCCACAATCCCATTCTGACATCCGTTGGATCTAGAAAAACTAAATGACAAGCACAACTAATTGCATCATTTTCGTGCATGATCAGGTGAAGCGGGTGAATGTGGCTCGAGCACACGGGCTCCTGGACAGTCACAAAGAAACGGTCCCAATCTCGATTTTCTGGCTCATCCCGCAGTACTTCCTGCGCGGGAGCACCGAAATCTTCATCCAGGTCGGGCAACTGGAGTTCTTCTACAGCGAAGCGCCAGACCGCATGCGGAGCTTGGATACCGCCATTTACTTGAGCACAATCGCATGTGGCCATTTTCTGAGCTCCGTGCTGGTCACGGTGGTGAATCACGTCACTAGCCACAGCACCACCCACCACCAGCCGTGGCTCACCAACAATCTGAACCGAAGCCGCCTGGACTACTTCTACTGGCTTCTGGCGGCTCTGAGCTTTGTCAACTTCCTCGTCTTCCTCGTATGTGCACATCTCTACCGCTACAAGGAGGTGGCCGCCACCGACACCGACACCGCCGTAGAACGCGCACTGGACGCTGTCGCGGGTGGCGGTCGCGGGTGGCGTGACGAACGAGGCGCAGCCCAAGTTTGAGAGCCACACCCAATGTTTTTCTATATGAATGTGATGCCTTTGAGGGGTTGAGATCTCCTCCCCTTATAATATATTTTTTCTGTTTCAAACCCATCTTTGGTATTGCAATGAATTCTTTATTGGAATCGTTGAGACTAAGGTGGAGATATGGTTGTGATTTATTAGCATGTGTGTATGGGTTTTTTTAAATTTTGTTTCACATTTTGGATAAACTTTTTCTTTTTGATTTTCAAATATCAAAGTGAAGTGATGGGAAAAGCTATTTTATAGCACCTATAAATATGTATATTATTGATGCTACAACGTTTTGAGGGTTGTAAACTTAGTCCATACGTCAAAAAGATATATATATATATATATATATATCTATATTTATCTATTTTAATTTTACATTAAAATTTCATTTTTTTAAAATGTAAAAATATAGCAGATAGGTGATTGAATATAGAGAAGAAAGTATTGGATTCTTAAGGAACGATTATAAAATAATAAATCCAATGAATCATCACTGTTTGGATAGAAAACAATTGTGACAAATTTGCTAGTTTTATCACATTTTCAAAAATAGTAATTTTGATTCTTTTTGTTTAATAAAAAATTCTAAACGTCTTCGTGATTTGATATATATATATATATATATATATATATATTAGCATCAATGGAACATAAAAATAATATGAAACATATAGGGTTTTATATAAAATTTTATTACTTTTGTAGGAAAGAATCACAAACATATTATTTAAAAATGTTGAAACTTATTTGAGATCTTACAAACCACAGTTATAATTTATTTATTTATTTATTTATTTATTTTAATAATACATTGGCATCAAATTTTTAAAAAATTATTGGAAGTTCATAAAAGTTTTAACTAATTCTAATTCAAGCTCTTCTAAAGAGTATCTAAAATCTTCTGGATTGCAATTGAATTGAAAGCTATGAATTATTATATATTCTTTTTAAAATATCCTAAACCTGATTGAATTATTAGAAATATAAGTAATTGTTTTGATAGGAAGTATGATAGCGGTAACAAGAAAAAGATTATATCTACATCATATCTATTTGAACATAAAATAAAATAAAATAATTCTTTTATTTTATTTTAACTCCCCTTGTAGTAAATAATAGCAATAGTGGCACCCAATTGGAACTTGGATTAATTTATAATTTTGATAAGGAATTACAATTCTTAAAAATCTCACTTAGTATATTGTGCAAAATAATACATATATAAAAAAAAGCATTTGGATTGCAACACTGCTTCCAAAATGCATATTGCCTAGGTCAACATTTTTAAAGAAGTTACAAATTTAAAGCTAATTAGCAACATCAAATCATTGATCAATGTTTTGTGTTATAATTTGCAACATTGTCTATGCCTTATCACTTTTTAATTTGATTTGTTATCTAGATATATTTAAATATTACTCTTATAAAAAATAATTTTTTTAATATAGTATAAATATTAAGACCTTATTAAAATTTGCTTAATTTCGTAATATGGTATTTTGGTGAAAAATAGAATCAAAGTTCAATAATACACATACAAAAAATTCACTACACAAAATTTTCATAAAAATTAATAAATGAATATGTCTATATATATATATATATATATATATAAATATATAGCTTTATAAGAACTCACACATATATACATGACAATTTATTACAAGGAAAATACCTAAAGTCGTACAATGTTTATAGTTTTTTTTTTTTTTTTTTTTTTTTTTTTTTATCATAAATCTCAAATCAAATATTTGAAAGACTGAAATGACTTTATCATGACTAAGAATAATTTCAATGATGTAAATTCATTTTCATGACTTAATGTTGATGATGGAATTACTGAAAAGTCATGACCTTTCAATGTGTACTCATCTTCAGCTGTACAGCAAATAGAATAGAATCATTCAATTCATCAGAGTTTGGAAACCTGATTTCTCTTTTGATCGTGTTAAAAAAACTAAACAAGAACAATAACGAAACATATCTTGTCCAGAATTACATTTTTGGTTTATAAAACTCAAAAGAAAGGTTAAAAGATCACTTTCGAAAAATATATTTTGAACATGGATGTTCAAAATTTGCTGAAAATAAGATTACATTGATACTAAGTATTAAAAACCAAATACTCAAATGCAAAATTCGATCTAGAATGGAATATTTAACTAGAGATATATACCATAATACAATAATATGTACGAAAAAGAACAATAATATGAAAATTGAAAACATCATATTGTGTTGTATACAGTGTTCCAATTCAAATCAGTAGAACATACTTTATTTATTTGATATGAATCTATACACGACATGTAAATAAGAGGCAACTAATAATCTAATATTCCATTACATATCTATATACCCGAATTGTGTGTATTTTTTAATGCGATGCTTTGTTTTGATAGAAGCATTAAAATCTGATACAAAATGATTTTATTTTTAATAGCAGCTGATGTTTTAAAAATATTCCTCAACTAGTTGTGAGAATTAAATACTGATGTGAATATAAATTTTGGAAATGGTTTTCATTTACTGATTCACTTGCATCTCTAGTTTTTTGTATTAAATAATGTTGCTGGTTTTTTTTAATGCAGAACCCAAAATTCCACAAGCTTTATATTTAGAACCTAAATTATATAGGATCAGAAATTTCCAATTTTTTCCAAGCACGAGTTTATAGATTCCACTTTTGTATTCTCTTTGGAGTTGAAATTCACTTCTGGCATTGTAACACATATCATGTTCAGAAGTGCGTTTTAGATATTACTTTTTTTAATGAAACATTATAACAATAATTTTGGTCCTCATGAAGATTATTCAGTTCTTAATATAATATGTCCACTGAAATTTCGAAGTTCCAAGTAATAGATATGTTTCATTCCAAATTTACAATTTCTTTTCGATCTTCATGATTTTATCCAAATATTTATATAACAAATTATGGCCCATGTTTTAAGTGATGATGATGTTACATACACAAGTTTTGAGGGTATTGAAATATTTGAAACATTTGAAGAAGGATTAGGTCATCACAGACCCGTCTCCCTTAAATCATACCATTCCTTAGAATCTGATACCACGAATGCCAAAGCCATTTTAAAAGATCCTCCATCATGGATAAGTGAAGATTTTCAATCAATACATCCAAATAATGCATCTAATGTTCTAAACTGCAACACTAATCCACATCCAAAGGAATATCTAAACCAGTTATCTGCCTTAAACAACTACATTCTAAATATAAATACAACTGATATCTTCAACCAATGTACACCAAATGCACAACCATTTCAAAAAACACCAAAGCTCAATCAAAGCCACAACATAACAAACAAATCAAATGCAACTAATATAAGAGAAAGTAAACGGACTTTGCTTAATTGTGAAGTGAATAATAATCCAGTGTTTTACTTTGGTGAATCAAGTCTTGCAAATAAACGTTTCAAAGGTGTCAATCACAACAACCAAGCTCCATTGACAACCACAAACATTTCTCAAGTAGATATAGATCAGATAGTGCAAGAAATGAATGAAAACAATGAAAATCAAGGACATCATTCAAATATGAATCCTAATGTAGATTGGAATATTGTGCCACAACATGGTTTGCCTCTCCTTGATTTTAATATAAACAATGACTTCTATGTGGATCCCACCAACGTTGATTCAATAGATACATCGGATTTTGATTTATCCTCATCTTCTAATTGTGGATCACAAAATTTTAACAAGTTAGATGTAATTCAAGAACATGTGCCATCAAATTACATACAACCATTACAAGAACATGGTTTGAGTGAGGAACTAGAAACCTCTAGAAACCATAATATACCACCAATTAATGCAATGCCTAATACAATTTTTGATTTTGATTTAGATTTTGAAGATTGTTTACTGGATCCATTGATAAGTGATGTTGCATCAAGTAGTGATGCACTTGATAATGAGAATGATTTGGTTGCGTATAGAAAATCCTTTTCCAAAGTTGTTGAACATTATGAAAGTCATAGTACAGAATATGCAAATAGCAATTTGAACTCTTACAATCAAAACCTTGAAAACATACAATTGTCATTAGAGAGTGTAATAACACATGCTCATAGCTGCAATAATTACATTGAGGATGAAAATCAAATTGCCAATACCTATACATTACCTCTTCAAGTTAGTGATACACGTAATAATGAAAAGAACAATAAAAATATTGAATTATTTATAGCATTATCTACACAAAAGAGTAGAAAAAAATATTTTCCAATTGAATTACAATTGAACACAACTACTACTACAGAAGACATCTTTAGAATGTTGAAGACTTTCAATTTAGATACGAGAGGTTTTGAAAAGGATGGAATTTCTACCTCATGTGATTTTTTATTTAAAGAAAAAAATGTGGAAGATGTTACAAGTAATGTTGGATATGAGAGTGAATGGAAGAAACAAGCTCAAGATGAAATGCTCATGGCTTGTCAAAATACTCCACAAGCTCTAGACATTCAAGGTATTGGAGCGAGTGATGACATTGTTGGAAATGCCATGTTTGCAAAATCAAACAACGATGATGAATGGAGAAAAACATCCAAAAGGGAGATCCAAGAAAAAGCTTTGACATATGTCAATGGGATCATACCTCAAGAGTGGAACAAAATGCCAAATCCACAGTTGATTGGAATGTGTATGTCAATGTTTTCAAAAGAACAATTGACAAAAGCTTGGGATGTTATATACAATAATGAGGCTTTGAAATCTAATTCTCTTTGGTCTTTACCAAATGTGAACACAAACGTTTGGAATCCCATAATGTATCGTGATGAAAAGTCAAGGATGTATCAAAAATATTTCCCAGTTGTAATGGAATCAAAAACATTAAAAATTTTGGCCTTTGATTACAAGAATCATGCCCATGTGGATGATATGATTCAAGATTCTAAAATGGAAGGATGGACTATAATGCCAAGTTTGGATTGGATAAAATCAAAAATAGCCACAAGCATAATTGCAGCCAAAAATGGATTAGTGGTTTGTGATAGTTTAAAACCACCACCATCAATCATCCAAATAAACCATAAATCAGTTCTCTATGTTGGTGCAAAAAGTGAATCATATCAAAAGAAAATAGTGGATAAGTATCAAACATTGCTCACTATAATCAATCCACTAACTCATGAATATTTCTTTTTGCCACCTATTCCTTTTCATGTTCATCGACAAAAAGTGGGATATTTAGATTTTTTACCAAAATACTATCAATTATTTATTCTTGGAACCTCAACAGTTGATGCTCTCAAAGCCGAAGGGAGAGAGCATGGAAGCAATGAGAGAGTGGTAGCACAAAATCAAACCAAATATGTGGTGTCCCTTGCAATTTATAGTTCCCTTCATCAACTTTGGATATATTTTGATTCTTTTGAGAATGTCAGAGTTCATCATTTTGGAGGACGTGGGTGTTTTGCAGTCATGAATTATGGATTGTATTTTGGAGGAATAAAAATGGACCCTCAACTTCCAACATCTATAACTAATCAAATGGCCTCCGTATTCTACATCAATTGTAGCAACAACAGGCGCCAATTCTTGTCCTATCCATTTTTAATACAAGGTATTGGGGATATTCAAATTCCAGAACCACCAAAAGTGATCAAAGTGGCAAACAACAAAATATATGCTGTCACACGTGAAACAGTAAAAAAGCTCAAAAACCAAACAAATTGCATTATGATGGTCGAAATAGTATTAAATGATGATGGCTCGCCCACTGGAGAATATGCTCCAGTTATAAACGGTGTAATGCCTGAAAAATATACTGAAAAACTGTTTCAGAAAGTGCCTTCTGTAAAAGGACGTGCAGTATATCAAGTTTATAGCTGCGGTGATTTGATAGCTTTCAAAGCAGAATACCCTGTTTTTGTATTATATGATGTGAACACAAGCAACTGGAGATTGACAAATTATGAAACAGATGTAGTTGCTGGAATCAAAAGAAATTATGTGATATTTGAAGGTATGTATCAACCTGATTGGTTGGCTGGACCTTAAGATTTAGGTGAGATGGTTTATTTGTTATTTTTACATGATAAATGGTATGATTTCAGAAAAGAGGAGAACTTAAACATATTTAGATTATAGATCATTTTTTTTCAAAGATTAAAAATCACAATCAAATATCTGAAGCCCATTTCTGCTGCACTTATAATGAAAAAAGAATGTTTTTAAATTTCGTAATGAATTGATTGTAACTGCAAACACTAGATCATTTTGCTGTAAATATATGAAACTTCAAAGCATCATATGGAAACATGTAGCAGAAAAGTCGAAGAAGGAAATTTACATTCAGACATTCGTAAACGACATAATTTTCAGTTCTGTGAGGACATCAAGATTATACATAAGCAATTTTTTTTAATAATAAAGACGATATTAGAATTCTATTCTTTCCCCAAAAAGGAAGTATTATGACCATGAGACAGTTTGTAATCCACGAGAGTCCCAATCCTCTCCACGACGAGAAGAAGATGGTCATAAGCTAAAGGTTGCAATCCTGAACCACAACTTTGTTTTCATCTATTCGACAATCTGGAGAAAACGATCAGACAATCATCCATAACAATTTCTACTAAATCATCACAACATCGTAGCCATACCTGTAAACATAATAATGCAGTATCAATTCTTGGGATGCTGCTAATTATCGGCTAATCCTCCTCTACTCTCACGTTCTTCCACCTCTTTTCAAAGTCTAATGAATGGTCCAGAAATCTGGTTGAGTTAAGCCTTTTCATGCATCTTTGCAGAGTTCCACTTCGAATGGTGCAGCAAAGTGGTGCCGACAATCAACGATGAATCGTCTTATTTATTCTCCACTTGACTCAACTTTTGCGGAGGTTTGTATCTGTATCCCTGCTTGGTTTGGATTGCAGGATTGCAGGATTGCAGACTCGATTCCTAGCGTTGAATGTGGTCTCGAAGTTCCCATCCAGAAGAGTTTGAAGATCAGCTGCAGCAGCGTTTCGTTGTTCATGGCGAAATGTGTGATGGATATTGAACTAGTAAAGTTTCGAGGGGAAGTTCCTAGCGCGTGATTGGTGACGTATGGTCCGGTGCTTTGGTCAGAGTGCATCAGTGTGGTTTCCAGGTACGAAATTTTGTGTGATAAAAGTGCGAGATTAAACGAAACTGCAGCTGCTGTTATTTGCGATGAATTCGTTTCAAAAGTTGCTAATTTGTGTACTGAAAGGGGATTCGGAGTTCACGAGGAGCGTCCATACATATGCTTACAGGGGTTCGCGGACATGGGAAGAACGAAATTTGGAAGAAAGGGAGGTCTCTGAGCTCATACTCTTTCAAATCTTTCAACATCAGTTTCCAGGTTTTAATCACTATCTTCAGTTTGTACTCCAAAGTACGCATTCAACCATTGCATGCCGGCAGCCATTGTAATGCTATAACTTCCTGCAATATTTCCAATCATGTAAAAGAACATGGCCGTGCTAATCTGCGCCCATATTTCTGAATCTTTCAAACACTTTTGTAGACAAATTTATTGACGAGGTTGTGATGATTACGGCGGTGGTGATGGTTCGATAAAAAAGTGTCCCCTGTAGAAATTTGACAATGTGGAGTTGTAGCAATCACTGTAACCAGAGCTGCACTCCTTCAGAGAATATTACAACAATGTGGTGAAGTCTCTCTTGAGGCCAGGGTGATCAACCATTAGTTTGGGGCTGCTAATCCAAACGACCAATTGAAGTTCAATTGAATCAACCTGCATCAGAATTGTTGTCTCTACATCATAAATTGGTTAAAATTTGTTGCATTAGCAAAATTTGGTGCTTGGGTGGTGACTACTTTGCCATCCACTGGAATTCACACCACTATCATTAAAGAGCTCTAAAAGTTGATTCAAATTGATTGTTATTCATTATTAGGATTTGATTGACCAAGTTTAGAATAAATCATCAATTGTATTTGAGAAGTATTCAAACTTAAGCACATCAAATAGAAGTGGTCATCAAATAGCTTCATTTCCATATAATCAAGATTGATGTATATGGCCATGACAACAATTGAATCATGACAAACTAACAATCTTATGCAAGTAATTATAACTTTACAGCACCTCTTTTAAGCCTACATACAACAATTATTTAGGGTTTGAAATATTAGAAAATCTTGCAAAATATAAATCAATACAATAAAACTAAATGTTGGTAGTAAACTACTTTCTTAATTTTGGACTAATGCTTTAAAGTATGGCCTTGGTTGTCAAGAAGTAAAGAGTGTCATTTTAAAAAATGTGGAGCTTGTTGTAGTAGATATTTGTTTCTTAAGATGTCTATATTTCAAGTATCACTGACTAAATCAAACACTCGTGCTTTAGTTTTTACATCTTATTCTATTGTGACCTAATCAACTTTAGACCCTTGTAGCTCTAAAAATATATATATATATATATATTTTTTCTTAAGTAACTTATTATACTATTTACACAACTTATGACAAATCTATATACCAGTTTTTATTAATAGACATACTTCGAATAAGATGTAGTAACTATTTTTCTAAAACCAACTTTTTAGCTTCTATATCACTTCTAAAGATTGCTTGTATAAACTCTCATATTTCATAGTGCATAGGCCTTCTTACATATTTAATTAATCACATCTTAATATGAAATGCAAAATTTTATCCTCAAAAATTGGTAGCTTGAATCAAAGTATCTACTAAGATGTACACCTTCAAAATTCATCTCTTCCACTGCCATAGTGTTTGCACCTCCTTCACTTTAATGCTCTATTTTTTTAACTTTAGCAACCTTCAAGCTTTTAAACTTTGTAAACAATTTGTATACCTCATCAAAAACTCATATCTATAATCTCATCTCAACAAACTTCTTGAATCATATTCAATGAATAAAAACTCATAATCTAAACTTTGCCTTCTTTATAAGCCTAAGTAGAAGAGATATCACATACATGTAGTACATGTCTTCACTCTTCTAAGTAATCTTAGCACCCTTAAATCCTCTAAGCATTTAGAAGATACATTTTCAAACTTTCAAAATCAACTTTCAATATACACTAATATCAATTACCTCAACCCCAAATTCCAAGCCTATTTAACTACCCTCATGCATAAAAACCATCAAATGAGAAGTTGTCATATATTTGGCCATTACAAAAAGTCTCCATAAGGTTGGTCCAATGAGAAACTATGACATGGTTGAACAAAATCCTTTTTACTTTGGTCCAATGCAAAGATTCCATCTACATACTTCCATTGCCTAATCTAATTTCAATCTAATTCCTATCTTGATCCAATTAACTAAGTCTTCTCAATCACTAATCTAATGATTTTTTAAATCTATTTTCAATCAAAAATAACAATTACATAAACATCATATTATTATCAATCTAACTATAAATTTAAATTTATAGTAAACATACATAATTATCTTAGTCTTATCATTTAAACCACTCACATATTGACCTTCATTCCTTTTAAATGTGAACTTTTTTTAAAATATGTAGATTTTTGGTTTTAAAATAGAAATAAAAATTCTTAAAAGATACTCTTTTGACCTCCAATTTCATTGATCTCAATATCCATGTCTCTATTGTTAGGGTCTTAATTATCCACTATAATCTTTTCTATAAAACTACAATTGTAAATAATATCCTCCAAAGGAAACTTACATAATCTTTTAATAGTTTTGATTTGAAGTGCTCTTTCTTCCACTCGATTAGTCAATTCTTCTTGAGTTAGCACCAAATATTTTTTTTGTCCAAATCCCATAGGCATAGTAATTAAATCCACTACCCATTTTTAATGCATTGCCAAAAGATAAATTGGATGTAATTCATCTCTTTGACAAGTATTTGAATATACTTAACAAGTCTTGCAAGATCCTATAAAATTTTCTACATTCTTACATATGCCTTTCTACCAATATATCTCTTTCACTTTGGCAAATGTTGTCCAAACTTTTCAAAGTTTGGTCCACCAAGTCTTATAAAATTCCTTAATAATCCTTTGTCGAGTCTCATATCCACATACAATTAGTTACAAAACTTCATTTCATTGCTTTAAATGCTTCTATAAAAACCTATTTTAATGAAAATATCCATAGGGCTTTCTTTGAATCTTCTTGATCTTTTAATTAGTCAAAACTTTTAGTTTTTTTGAAGTGCTCAAGTACTTTTTAATGTATAGCCGTTCTCTTTTATACAAGTATTTTGTGAAAAACTCAAATGGTGTAGCTATACATAATCCTTCTCCTTTTTTTGAAGGTTATAGTATAAAAGTTGGTGCCAACATCTTCTTCATTTTCTACCTTGTCTTCTTCATCTTCATACCTTATTTGTGAATATATATCTACTACCACATTGTCCTTCCCCAAAATATGTTTGAAATTTAGATTTATTAATTAATATAGACTATCTACCTCAATACAATAATATCCAATGTAAAACAACTTGCAATCATTCTTAATAGAGGTAGACAATCTATTTTTGCAACCACCATTGTATCAATCAAATAATTCTTCATATGCTTTTTAGCCATAGCAACATACCATAATTCTTTCTTAACTTGTATATAAGTCCATTAATGAGAGCTTTAACATAATAATTGAATTATTTTTAAAACTATTCAATCTTTTTTATATTAAAAAAAATTTATGTTATCTCTCTACTCAAAGGCTAGTAACACAGATGTCTATATTTTAAACAAGACAATGAATTCTCAAATTGATATGTAATTTTTTTAAAAAGGTGATTTAAAATCAAGCCATCCATATCTCATTACAAGATCTTTAATTATCTTATATATATCAATAAAGAAAAATACATCAAGGTTAGAATTAAGAATATTTTAATAATTTTTTTTTGATATTTATCATCAAATAAAGTATGTAGATTCTAAAATTTGGTATTTAATATAATTCTTAAAAATTCCAAAGCAAGATTTGATGAAACCTCTAATCAATTTAATTCCAACACCTTTCTTGCTTTTGAACCTTTATTGCCTTTATCAATTGAATTCAATTTACTTCCTATTTCAACAATGTTACAAAAATATCTTCTTACTCTGATACAAACTTCATCTATCAAAGAAACTCAAAACAATTTGTTATCTAAATCATCAAAAGATCAATTTATTTTGAATCTTTCAAAACTAGTGGAAGACTTTAGAATAGTAGGAGATACTTTGCTGACCCATGTTTCTACCTTCTTTGATGACCCAACACAAGATTTTTCTATTTCTCTCTCTAATGTTAACATTACAGTTCCATATCAAAAAGAATTAATACCATGCCACGCACCACAACTACCTCTACAACTATTGTTTTTGTTCATGTCTAATCCATAGCTTATTTTGCAACCATTGGTAAATCTATTTTCAAACCACAACCTTATTCCAAGGCTCTTGCCTCTAATTAATCCAACAAATATATTAAAGAAACGAAAACAAAATATAATTTATTGATTAAGAACCACACTTAGGATTTTGAACCCTTATTCTCTTACAATCTCCACTAGAGAAATAGTACAAAAATAATTAGGATCCCTAATCTTTTTCTTAAAAACCTTCTTTACCTATGTTTTATAAAAATCTCTTTGTTGATACATTTTGATCTTATTATTTATAAAACAAGTTAATAATTATTTTAAATTCTATTCTAAAAGAAGAACACTACTCCATACAACAAATAATGAATCAAAACAAAGATGATACAAAAAATATATGCTTGTAACTTAATTAGAACATGACATTTACTCAATTTATTACCAAGTTCAGTTATTGTACTAAAATTAATGTGATTTATAATACTCTAAATTGTGACATTTACACAAATAGTATTTTCCTTAAACAATAATGAAACACTTTTTATAAACTTCATCTCCATAATCGTCAAGAAATAGCACTTAAATGAAATTACGAAGTGACATAACTGTTGTTAATTTCACTCGATTGCCATTGTCTCATGATAATGAGATAATTTATACATTTCAGTACAGTCCTGAGGATTGGGCTGCGCGTCTCCGCTCTGGTCAGCGGGTTGCAACGTGGAACGTGGTTCTCCTTCCCTGTCGGCTTCGCGTTGGTGATCCAGGCGGTTGGCAATTTGTGGTACATGTACATGCGTACCATATCCAGGTTGGCCATGCATTTAAATTATGCTGCTTGCCGCCACATTGACGTAGCCCATGGCAACGTGACAAACAAATTAACAAACAACAATGAATCAAGCAAAAGCCACATTCCTCAGGAGCTTGAAGGCGGAGGAAAGGTCTGGACCTGAACTTGTCGGAATCCAGGAACTACGACACCTTCACCGGATTTGCATTCTCATCATAGAATACGAACTCCAAGTTTAAGAAAACTGTGTCCATGGGATGCGTCTGCCTGCCAGGGGGGATCTTATCTAATCAGATATTCCAAATGCAATCCATATTCGCGTGGTGCGGGTGGAAAATAGGATCAAACGCGGACCAACCGAAGTTGCCGATATTGTCCGACGGGTAGAGTGGCGCCTGGGCATCCGGGGTCTCAATCCACGCGTGGACGGTTCTATGAGAATAATCCTCAAAAGTCCATGCTTCCATCTCGCCGGATTCTACTTTGCTGAACTGTATTTTATAGAATAGCGCCTAGGACCAGTTGAGAGTAAGTTAGGCAAGTGTTTTGCACCTGAAGAAACTCCAACGTCTTCTTGGTGCATCCCCTCGCCGTGTCCATGTCAACCACGAATGGCGGTGCCAAGGAGTTGTTCCAAACGGGGTGGTACAATGGCAACTCTTGGTTCGAGTACATGGCAGGAATGACATTGGCGAGGGGCGGGTGCTTCAACTGGTTGTCCCAGTTCCAGTAATGTAGAGGAAACATATCATTGTCCAACATCTTTGCTGGGATGCACTCGTGGAGGAACAAGAGCAAGCGGTGCTACAACAAGAAGAACCATCCATTGTGAATCTCCAAGGGGTACAGCAGATTGTCGCAGTACCAGCAATGTTGGTTCATCTGGTTCTTCAGGGACCTAAGAATGCTGTCCAAAAGCGCCCTCAGCTTCTTAGGTCCTCTCCAACTTTCTGGTGATTATTGATTTCTGGTGATTATTGATTTCCTTGACTTCATCTTTTGCATCATAATTTTTTTTAAAGATGTGCTTAAGTGACTATATCACTTGCTAAATATATATTTTTAAGAATCATCCATACTTCATTTGTTGTTCTGCATGCTCCTGTATAAGAAAAAATCAAGTTGTCTATATAAATTCATATTGTGGCAAGTGCCATTTGAAAGTTTTATTTTAATTTTGTTAGTAATGTTTTAGTTGTTGAATTTGGTTCTAAGATAGAAGTTGATTCTTTTTCAATTCTTCAATCTAGGTTCCAAATCTCTTCCATATTAAATTTTAATGAATTTTCTGTTTTTAGATTGAGATCCTCAATCCGTTCACTATGTTTTGACTGAGGTTATTTATCGGTTGTTCCATACGTCGTCTACATGTACATTTTTTTTGTAACACATATCTTTGTCTCAGAGCTTTCCTCTATGATGAGAAGTAGGTACATGAGGTAATATGACAAATACAATCATTATCATGAGACAATGGCAATCGAGTGAAATTAGGGCAGTTATGTCACTTCGTAATTTCATTTAAGTGCTATTTCTTGACGATTATGGAGATGAAGTTGTCCAGGATGTCAATGGCTCAACCAACCCTGTGACTTATGGTTACTGGAAGAGTTTCAGACATGGCAAGGGAACAGTAAATTATAGCACAATATCCATAACTGAACTTGGTAATAAATTGAGTAAATGTCATGTTCTAATTAAGTTACAAGCATATATTTTTTGTATCATCTTTGTTTTGATTCATTATTTGTTGTATGGAGTAGTGTTCTTCTTTTAGAATAGAATTTAAAATAATTATTAACTTGTTTTATAAATAATAAGATCAAAATGTATCAACAAAGAGATTTTTATAAAACATAGGTAAAGAAGGTTTTTAAGAAAAAGATTAGGGATCCTAATTATTTTTGTACTATTTCTCTAGTGGAGATTGTAAGAGAATAAGGGTTCAAAATCCCAAGTGTGGTTCTTAATCAATAAATTATATTTTGTTTTCGTTTCTTTAATATATTTGTTGGATTAATTAGAGGCAAGAGCCTTGGAATAAGGTTGTGGTTTGAAAATAGATTTACCAATGGTTGCAAAATAAGCTATGGATTAGACATGAACAAAAACAATAGTTGTAGAGGTAGTTGTGGTGCGTGGCATGGTATTAATTCTTTTTGATATGGAACTGTAATGTTAACATTAGAGAGAGAAATAGAAAAATCTTGTGTTGGGTCATCAAAGAAGGTAGAAACATGGGTCAGCAAAGTATCTCCTACTATTCTAAAGTCTTCCACTAGTTTTGAAAGATTCAAAATAAATTGATCTTTTGATGATTTAGATAACAAATTGTTTTGAGTTTCTTTGATAGATGAAGTTTGTATCAGAGTAAGAAGATATTTTTGTAACATTGTTGAAATAGGAAGTAAATTGAATTCAATTGATAAAGGCAATAAAGGTTCAAAAGCAAGAAAGGTGTTGGAATTAAATTGATTAGAGGTTTCATCAAATCTTGCTTTGGAATTTTTAAGAATTATATTAAATACCAAATTTTAGAATCTACATACTTTATTTGATGATAAATATCAAAAAAAAATTATTAAAATATTCTTAATTCTAACCTTGATGTATTTTTCTTTATTGATATATATAAGATAATTAAAGATCTTGTAATGAGATATGGATGGCTTGATTTTAAATCACCTTTTTAAAAAAATTACATATCAATTTGAGAATTCATTGTCTTGTTTAAAATATAGACATCTGTGTTACTAGCCTTTGAGTAGAGAGATAACATAAATTTTTTTTAATATAAAAAAGATTGAATAGTTTTAAAAATAATTCAATTATTATGTTAAAGCTCTCATTAATGGACTTATATACAAGTTAAGAAAGAATTATGGTATGTTGCTATGGCTAAAAAGCATATGAAGAATTATTTGATTGATACAATGGTGGTTGCAAAAATAGATTGTCTACCTCTATTAAGAATGATTGCAAGTTGTTTTACATTGGATATTATTGTATTGAGGTAGATAGTCTATATTAATTAATAAATCTAAAGTTCAAACATATTTTGGGGAAGGACAATGTGGTAGTAGATATATATTCACAAATAAGGTATGAAGATGAAGAAGACAAGGTAGTGTCAAGGACAAGAACATAATAAAGACAAATAAATAAGTGAGACTTCTTTCAAAGAAAGATGACAAAATAGAATTAACTTGATATGTATATTAAAAAAGAAATTGAAATGGCTATTGCCAAAAAACAAGAAAACTAGAGATCCTTGAAATTAGATTCGAAGCAAGAAAGGAGTTGAAAAGAATGAAGAGGGCTTTACTCTTGTCTCTATATATACTATTTAACTAGGGGCTATGTGGCAACATTCTATAGGACCTCTAATATGTGTTGACTTTTTAGGACACATGCCTTGACTTACAAGGCAAGTTTTTCTACGTGTGGGCCACATAATTAGCTTGGTCTTCAAGCTAATACATGTGTGGCACATGGCTAACTTATTGACTACGTTTCTAATCCAAAAAGTCAATTAAAGACACCTATAAAGTCAAAGTAGCATCTATGAAGCTTCTATAAAGCTTTCATACCAAATACTATAAAATTAACTTATTTTGACCTACTTTTACTTACTTCTATATATTTATACATGTAATTATTAGCTTACATGTTTATGTCCATGATATTACCCCCCCTTCTAGGAACGAGTTCCACAAGGAGCAGTAATCATATGTTGAAGAAATCTATGATGCGACAAATTGTATTCGCCACATACTCTGATCTTTATTCTCTTCGAAGATGATTGATAGGGCCTTTCAACCATCGGTAGTGTCCCATATCAGGGCGGGAAGACTACTCCGTTATTTGATCAATGTTGAGGCTTTCATAACTTCCTTCCAATCAAACATTTGGAATACCATCAAGAGTTGTTCCTACCTCTAGTAAAATCACCAAACATCAGGAGTCCCTTCGAAGGTCGTGATACCAAACGCATTATATTTTGCCATCTATTCAAGGAAGAATATGTCATTCTTGAAGATCTTCATCTCGATTACATCGTCTTGAAGGTTGAGACAATTGTAATGTCTCGTCTGGTAGGTCAGCAAACGAAGGCTCTTTGGTCAAATCCATTGGTTGTTGGTTCTCCATCTTCTGAGCATCACAACTACAAAGAAGCTACAAACAAGGATTGAAATTAGAATGATATCTTGCCTAGATCTTGTTTCTTTTATAAAGAAGATTTTTATCTTGATTTTGATGGATATCGTCAATAAAAAGCCTCCATCGTCTTTACTGCATTTACAAGATTCTTTACTGGCTTCCATGTACCTTCACTAATATCATATCCACGCCAATGAACAAGATATTTTAATTTATTTTGATGCCGCCTTGAATCTAAGACTTCTTCTACTTCAAACTCTTTATTATTGTCCACTTCGATAGGAAGAGGTGGAGCTTGTCATCTTCTTGGTATGTCCATTGTCTTCTATATTCAAGAAGAAACACATAGAATATTGGATGGATTTTTATTGACTCCAGCAGATATAAACGATATGCAACTGGATTGATTTGTGCAGAAATAGAAAATGGTTCAAGCCTTCGATAGTCCAACTTGTCACAAGGACAAGTGGTCTTGATATTGCGATGAAGTAACCATACCTTATCACCTATGTGGAATGGTGATTGTTCCTTTCAATAGACATCCACATTGACCTTTTGTTGTTCTTGAGCTTCTTTTAACTATGCCTTCATCGTTGCATGTAGCTCTGACAAATGAATTGCCAAATCTTTTGCAGCAGGATTATCAACTTTTAAAAAGTCAAAAGTATCAAGTCATGGATGATAACCATAATTAATAAAGAAAGGTGTTTTTTTTGTAGAAGAATATATCGTGTTATTGTAAGCAAACTCTGCCAATGGCAAAAGAGTTGTCCAATCATCTTATTAGTAGTTAATGATACATCTTAAATACTACTCCAAAACTTGATTAATACACACCGTTTGTCCATCAGTTTGAGGATAGAATGCCAAAGATAGTTTTATATCCACTTTTAGAAACTTAAAAAGAGTCTGCCAAAATCTTGATACAAATTGAGTTCCCCTATCTGATATAATATCCTTGGATAATCCATGATAGCGATAGATATTGTCAAGAAAGAGCTTGGTTATTTCTTCACCTGAGATAGAGTTTGTACATGGTACAAAATAAGCCATCTTAGTAAAACGATCTACTATCACGAATATAGAGTCACAAGAACCTGAGATTAGAAGGTCCATGATGAAATCCATAGAAATAGAAGACCATGGTTATTTTGGAATGGATAATGGCTGAAGAAGTCCGTAAGGTCGATGACGAGGAGTTTTTGATCTCGAGCAAACATCACAAGATTGTACAAAATTTTTAATTGCTTTTCACATTTGGGGCCACCAAAAGTCCTCGGATATTAGTTCCATAGTTTTATTGTACTCAAAATGTCCTGCTCTTGAAAAGTCATGACGAGCTTGAAGAACACATAATCAAACTTCACCTTCTGGAACATATAGGCGTCTCTCAAAATATAGTAGATTCTTCTTGAATTCAAACTTGGAAGTATCATGAGACTTTGAAGGATTTTCCTTAATATCATGAATAAGAGGATCAGAAGACATACTTGACTGAATCTATTATTCTACAAATTTTATGGTTAAAAAGATATAATCCATCTATAGATTGGAAGTGTCATAAGATTGAATTTCCTATAGAATTCCTTTGGACAAAACTT